GATAAGCACAGTGGAAAAGAGTCAGGCAGGCAGTGCCATGTGAGAGTGAGTCATAGGCGAAGTCACTCACTGGACTCGTGCCTCTCAAAGCTTCAGTACAATCTTTGTTTCAAAAAAAAAAGTCCAAGTACTCATAATCTACTCCTGAAGATCAAAGACTGTTGCTGAAAAAAGACTCCTTGATAAATAATGATGCTAACAAGTGTTGGGAACTGAATGATCACAAAGCTTACAAATAGAAGATAAATTTGCTAACAATCCAAAGTTCTTATGGAAAGTTATCATGCCTACAGCAACCTGAAACCCCCTTAAAAGAATCAGTTCCCTAAACATCATGACTGTGACTCTAAGACGCAGACAGACTACTCAAAACCAAAGTACCTAACCACTTATCCCTCAAACACTAGCATAAAACAAAATGCATTAAGCAGCTTACTGAAAGCTTGGCAAAACCTACCCCAGAAACCTCAAGGACAGCCCAGCGGTGAATATGCTTTTAGTTATAGTGTAATCACACCTGCCACAGTGATGCTACAATAACATCTTGCAGGAGGTGTGAAAATATCAGTTGAAGCTATTTGATATTCTCGCAGGGAAGTGCGAAAACCACCTACGGCTTTTGTGTGAACTCAACAAGCTAACCTTAAACACACTTTGCATCATCCTTCATAGTTGCTTGCATGTTGTTCAGACTCAAACTTTTAAAACAAGCTTCTTAAGATGACTGCCCAAGTAACTGGACAGCAGAAAGTCTTCACAGTGAAGGACAAACATTTCAAGTTGATTTTTCACATAATCTATGTTACAATAAGAAAATGCATCAATGTAATTAATGTAAACTATTTTCATAAAACATGGCTTCAAGAATTCAGCAACATGAGGTTTTGCTTGTTCTTCATGTGTGGTTAAGGACAACTTATTTGGTTTAGTGCCACATGTGGCTCTTTCAGTTTCAGTCACAGTTTCAGGTCAAAGGTGACGGGTGCTCAGCTTCACCTTCATACACATCTACACATGCATCAAGCACTAACTCAAATTTTGATTGTGTTTTGGGAGAGAGATTTATGAGGAGATACACCACATCCTGTCACATTAGGAAAGATTTAGATGGGGCTGCCTCCCCCAGTAACTTCATCATCTGATAAACCTGTGCACTTAACGCTGCATGGCTTACATACCATTCAGATCAAGACTGGCTATAATACATACTGCAAGTCTCACAGATTTATGTGCATTTTGCTCTCAATTCTTCCAAATATATTGTCTAAAAAGAAGAACTGAAAGCAGACTTGTTGTGAATGGCAGCAGTCGGGTTGTGAAAACCAAAAAATAATTCAGTTCATTTAGATGAAAAATCAGCATATCCATGCAGCGAAGCCAGTACTATTTTATTAATTTGATCTGGGAATAAAGGGAACTCGGTGCTCAGTTATCTGTCTCTAATTTGTTTTCATTAGGACAAGTGTCCCATTTGCTCTGTCAGTTTAGTCTGTGCATTTAATGGTCATAATTTAATGGTTAGGGGAGGGGAGCATGGGGCACAACCTAAAACAGGGTAAAGTTTAACATGGATTATAGTAGTTATAGTAGATAGTAGTTATAGATGATAGTAGTTTAACAAGTTAAAGTAAAACATGACATGTTTAGGGAGTTACTAGAACTTCACTAAATCAAAAGGCAAAACCACAACAGTGAGGAAAACAAGACAAACACAGCATAACAAAATACAGTAGAATGACAAATGTGGGGAAAACAATGCAAGACCAGTCAAGGCACACTTAAAAAGAGGGTTCCTTACACTAAACACCACACTAGAAACACCTGAGGGATGGTAAGGGTTACAAACTAAACACAGGAGGAAGGACTAATGGGTAGGTGGGACTAGGAATGAGACATGGAAGGAGACAAGAAAGGCCGAAGCCAGCACAAAGAAACTATGATATAACAGGCGTGTCTCAAAGTGGAAGCAGCAGACGAGGTAGGAGAAATCCCTCCTAGTAGAGGTCTGCACTACCACGGATACCCGCAGGACCCACCATAATATCCTGCGCTGCAGGACAAATTTTCAGTGTTGTTGGCGGGCGTGGGCGGGAAATCAGACCCCTTCAGGCAGGAATGAGCAGAAGCAGGCATGAAGAGAAATGTCGGAAATTAATGAATAACTTAAATCAGGTACAATGAACATTAAATCATATACGTAAGCAACATAACAGTAAACAGTTAAAATGAATAAAGTGAGAGTGGAAGAAATTATTCTGATTTTCTGCGGGAGCGGGCAGGCGCGGGATGTAATCTCGTGGGAGCAGGCGGGAGCGGGACTGAAAAAACAGTGCCATGCAGACCTCTACCTCCTAGCACTGAAATGACTGAAGATCTCCAAGGATACACCAGTTAAGACACTGGGGTTCTCAGAAAAGAAGGATCCTATGAAATGCCTTCCTTTCCCGCATCCTTGGCTTTGAGACATGGCATTTGAAAGTAATTTTTTTCGCCATGAGTGTTTTTCAATTGCTGAGTTGTGTCACTGAATTCACCTCTGTATTTCATTTTGAAGATAACTTTAAAAAGCACAGCATTTAAGTAACCTAGACTAAAGTATAATCTCTGCACAACTAACACTGTGTTAACAACTAAGCCACACCAAGTACGGAAAATAATTATTATTATCCCAGATGTGTTCAAGATATATGCAATATATGTCATAGGACTTAAATATGTTTCAGTTTCATTGTTCATATATTTGCTGTTCTTTTTTGTAGTTATATTTTGTGTGTGACACAGCCTCTTTTGCTAATTCTGTTCATTTTAATGCATATATTTCTATATTTTAAAGCTTGTCTGGTTTAGACCACATAGAATTATACTGGATTTATTTATTTTCATAAGTTTGCAACTAGCCCCTCAGTCTGTTACACTTAACTCAGCCTTCTGGGCACATTGTAACATTTCCACTCACTTCAGTTTTGGATTAACTCTTTACAGTATGTGCTCAAAGCAAAGTTTGCTTTCATTTAGAGTATGTAGGTTGTTCATACAAAGAACTACTAATTGTGCTAAAATATTTAACTATGTAAATATTTATTTACTAGAAATCAGATAATGCACACCTTTTCCGCTACAGTGTGAGAAATTACCAGATCTGTGGGTGTGACTTCAAGGTGCCTAAAATGGAGCAGCAAGCCCTTTAAAGTTTCCATGTCATAAAAAATAGACAATCTACTTTCAAATTTCTCTGTTGCCTATGTGGCCTACTCCAAACAATATAACAGCAGATGTGCTCAAGTAATACCACAGACACGTTAAACAAAGCCCAATTCCTCTTTTTCATGATTAACAGGTTATAAATGAATCGTGAGTCATAAACATTCCAGTCTCAAACGTGCCAGTTCTTCACATGTACACACGTACAAAGCCTCTTACAAGCCATATGATTTATTCTTTTTATTATGTTTTAAATAGTTTGAATGTTCAGGATGCAGATGCTAAGTGGGAGTTTGAGCCTAGGTCAATAAGTACTCTTAAAAAAGATCTTTGATTTGATTTAGCTCACTGATTACATCTTTTAATGAGTAAAGCTGTTGTCAGACGTGTCCATTAAGGGAAATCTAGCCTCTTATTCCCTGTGGAAGGCCCAGTGTGAATTTGTACAGGTTCATTTGTGAATCATTTAAGGTAATGAGACTATAATTTCAATCAACATCAATAATAATGGAAATGAAAGATCAGTAAAGCAATAGTCAAAGAAATTGCACTGAGAGAAATTTAACTTCCCAGTGAAATAAAACGATGCAAAGAAAAACAAATTTACATTTTACAGACATTTCTTCCTCAAATGTACCTTCCTGTTTTTAATTTATTGTGCACCCTTTGTTAAGATAACAATGCTGAGGGCCAGATGTGCGCCTATGAATTGCAGAAAGCTTGAAAGGCAAACATCAACGTTAATTGGAAATCATAGCACTGTACTTCATACTGTGATGGATTTCCGAGTGAAACATGGTCTTAGGTGAGGTCTCTGAGCCAGCTAAGTGTTTTAGCTGAGTGTATGGAGGTGTTGGGGGAGGAGCAGGTAAAATGTAATATTATCTAAGCCTCTTATCCTTCTGGGTGAAACATAATGTTATTAGTTAATATTATATTTCCCTGTCTACTGGTACACGGTGACAATCAAAAATCAACAAATGTTTCAGAGATGGGCAAAAGTCATTCCATTTTAGTGCTGGCCCTATAAGCTAATTCCCTGATGATGGTCTTGCTCTCTCTGGGTGGGTAGAATGGCCATCCCGCTCCCCAATCACTCAGCACGATGCTAGCCAGCACAGGTGTCCAATGACGCTGTGCAAGCGGCAGTTTGAAAAGATGCAGTGGTGCTTCACATGACTCGGAGGAAGCATGTGCTAGCCTTCACCCAGTGCTAGTAGTATCGTGTGACTCGGGAAGACCCAGAATTAATATGAATGGAAACTGTCAGAACACCGAGAAAAAACATTTTTTCTCTAGCCTTTTTTTCTCATACTCTTTGCAAAAAGGGCTCTGTATGCTACTAAAAATGGACTCTTAACAATGGAACCCATTTTGGTACTGACTAGAATTAATTTTAAAAGTTCTTTAAAGAATCATAACAGCTGTTTTTCCATCATAGAGAATATATTCAAACAATTCTTTGAGTCTACATATTTTTGTACAGAGCCATTGCTTTACTAAAAATCTTTTTTAGGAGGGTAGCTTTATCAAACCCAACGATAATATTGGAGAAAGCTGTGTGTGTGTAAGAAAGAGAGAGAGAGAGATTCAGCTTTAAAGAAACAGTCCAAATTGGTGCTTGAAGTGGTGATATACTGCCCAAAAAATATACTAAAAGAGGACACGTGTTGGACTGTGAAAAAAAGACAGACCACTTGAGAAAAGAAAAATGGGCAGACCTAGAAAACAACACAGGAAATTATGTCAGTCACTATGGTTACTGTACTACACTGAAAAGACTTCTCTGATCATTTGCTCAGTAGAAGCAACGTGCTCCATGCTGGGACCAGCAGAGAAAACACCCATCACTGCCATGCCAACAGAAAAAACATACAGACTGACAGTTTGGCGGGAAACAAATTACTGGTAAGTACTCTTTTTGGTCTAATCAGTATTTTGCCTGAAGTACATTGAAAATTATGTGGAAATTATATTTTGTATGTGGTTAATGATTTGTTATGATTTGTTGTTCTGTACCCTCACAAGAACAAAGAAAATGTAGTGATGTGCTTGAGGAACAAGTTGAAAAAAATGCACTGCAGTCTGTTATTCCACCTCAGATCAGCACTTACGTACTCTTATGATAACTCTTAACACTCAATGTAATATAATTTATGACTGGATGAAAAAAACAGTTACAATGATTTCTTTAGATTGACAGAACATGCTTAACATGTTTCCACAAAAATCAAGATGTTTTGTAGATTTGCAGTCCGCCCAAGAACAGCGCATGTACTATTACTGTGTTGAATACAATTTATGACTGTAAATGTAGCTGTAGTAAAGCATGTCTCCACATGCAGGGGAACACTTTTTTAAGGTTTCTGGAGGGATTGTAGTCATTACACAATCGCCACCGCATTGCAGGCAATGGAGTGTATATACCATTAAAGCTTAAAAGATTTTCCTGTGTAGCAACCTCTGCCATTCAGTTACTAACAAGTTCTAACACTGATCTTAGAGTGGGTGTAGATTTCTCCGGTACAGTTGGCGGGACAGGAAGCACATTTCGCTTAACTTCAAATCTGCTTGAGTGGGCCAGGATTGTTTTGGGACCACCACTTATTGTTTTGAAGCAGTGATGACTGAGGTGGAACTTCCTTACCATGCATTCCTATTGTATTGTAGACTTCCTTTACTGCATGGGCAGCAATGGCATTTTCAGATTACGGATCCAATGCCATGACTAGGTTGTAGTACTTTTTTTTTTCATTAACCACACTGGCCTACTGCGGAGAAAAAAGCCGACAGCCTCTTTCTACTTCCTCAATGAAACCATACACCATGTGTTAGGGTCGAGATTGTGAATGTATGTTTGTCCCAAAAAACGCTGCCACTTCTGCATTTGCTTCCTCAGATCTGCTCCAATCCCAAACTTATCTTGTGGCTATGATGACAACTCCAAACAGCACTAGCAGCGATGAGTCCACTGCTGGCAACTGCACCAACCTGTATGACCATCGTGGGTGGGCACGAGTGCTTCTGCCCTCGGTTTACTGTGTGGTTTTTGTTGTCGGGCTGTTGGGTAACGCGCTAGCCCTACACGTAATCTGGCCCAACATGAAGAAGATCAACTCCACCACGATCTACTCAGCCAACCTGGTTGTATCAGACATCTTGTTCTCGCTTGCTCTTCCCCTGCGGGTGGTCTACTACGGGATGGGATTCCACTGGCCGATGGGTGAAGGCCTGTGCAAGGCCATGGCCCTGCTTTTCTACATCAACATGTATGCCGGTGTGAACTTCATGACCTGCCTGAGCGTGGACCGCTTCATCGCCGTGGTGCTGCCTCTTCGCTTCGGCCGCTTCCGCAAGGTCCACAATGTGCGTTACATCTGCGTGGCAGTGTGGGTGGTGGTGCTGGTTCAGACCCTGCCACTGCTCTCAATGCCTATGACTCATGTGGAGCATGACGGCCACATCACGTGTATGGAGTACCCCAACTTTGAGCAAGTGGAGGGCTTACCCTTCATGCTGATCGGTGCCGTTTTCCTGGGATATGGCATTCCTCTGATCACCATCCTGGCATGCTACTCTGCACTTTGCTCCAAGCTTCGTCTGCTGGCCAAGACCAACCAGCTTACAGAGAAATCTGGCCGTAGTCGCAAAGCCATTGGTGTGATCTGCTGCGTCATCCTAGTCTTTGTGGTCTGCTACAGCCCCTATCACATTGACCTGCTGCAGTACATGATCAGAAAACTGCAGTACCAGCCTGACTGCGGGGAGCTGCATAACTTCCAGATATCTCTGCACATCACTGTCTGTCTCATGAACCTCAACTCCTCCCTAGACCCCTTCATCTACTTCTTTGCCTGCAAGGGCTACAAGAAGAAGATAATGAAGCTGCTTAAGAGGCAGGTGAGCATGTCCTTCTCCAGTGTGGTCAAGACATCCCCGGAGGGCTCTTCTCCAGATGCCCTAGGCAATGACAAAATCCACATGAGCAGCAGAAGCTACGCTAGAGAGCGAAGCAGCATGATAACGGGTGACTGAGAAAAAGCACAGCTTGCGGACTAAAGTCAGAACCGGCAGGGAGTCAAGATACAGGACATGATTGATGCTGACTGAACAACAAAACATGCTGCTTTGTAAATAATGTCAGCAATTTTCAAAAGGGCCACATGATATCATAACATGTAATTAAGAGTGACTAAATGCATTATTATTTACTGTTCTCAGCTTCACTGTACATATTTTTGTGTCAACCTGGATCTGTGTTTTAAAACTGGACTGCTTTCTGTCATTCATTTATTAATAATAATAATAATCATATTATTATTATTATTATTATTATTATTATTATTGATAATAATAATTAAAAGGATGTAAGAAGCAGAAAATAACAGTACAGCGGTTGTGAAATTATTAGTGCTTTAAAAAAGTGGGAAAGTACCACACATGAAAGCACCACATGCGAAAGCACATGTTCCCTTTAACAGTCTCTAAACTAACAGCACCACCTTCTGTTAGATTTCTGTTAAAGCTGTCTGCAACAGCTTTGGGTAACAGTAAAAAGCAGGAAAGTGGATGAGTCACCAGTACCAGCAAGTACACAGCACATGAATACATATGACAGTTGAGACATTTGACATTTTGGTTTACATGGTTGTTATTTTTAGAAGAGAACATGATTCACAGGTCTGGAAAAGAGTGAAAACATTACATTTATGGCATTTGGCAGACATTTGTATCCAGAACAACTTACAATTTGATTACTTAACAGATGTAGATGAAGGTAGTGTTAGGGGTCTTACCTAAGGACTTATACTGGTACAGCGTGGGGTGTGGGGTGTGTACCCCATCAGATTTCAAATTATTTTCAAATAATTATTATTACAGTAACATTTTCAATTCCTTTCCTGGTGAAATTACACTGAGCAGAATCATTTATGCAGAGAAAAACTGAAGACTGCTTGATATAGTGCAGTTACAGAAAAATGCCTGTAGAGGGCAGTATGATTTAACATTACAGCATGTTGCACATTACTTCATAACTTCTTGCTGCTTTAACATCCCGAACAACTGTGGACGTCAGAATATGTTTCACAAAATCTATTTACTTCATGTAAAATATCTCTTTGATCCATCTAGCAGGTTCAGTGTAGAAATCCCCACTTAGATAATTATCCGAAAAAGGAATTTAAGGGGAATTGTAGAGTAGTTTACAGTGGTGATGATACAGGCCTTTTATTTACTATATAACGAGATTTTTTTTTTTAATATGGGTTTTTAAAATAGGTTTTTAATATGTCATGTTATATTAAACAAGTGATAAATAGCATTAAAAACAAAAAAAGTTACAAAACCTTGCAGGAATCTTTCCACCACAAATGGATCAGAAACCACTGTCTCAGGCTTCAGGGATCATATTCTTAATCATTGTGTTTAATACGTTTTTGTAGGGGCATTACACACTTTTGATGTCTAGTTCCTATCACCACCACATTGAACACTTCTGTCTCAGTTAAGTTTCTTTAGAATGAAGCATTTCACATCAAACCACTCTGAATTACTTTGTTTACATCTAAGATATTTGATTATGCAGAAATTTTGAAGATCACTGGAATCCCCCTTTAAATAACCCAGAATACATTATAGAAAAATAAATTAGAAATAACACAAAGAAATACACAATCTAGCTTCTTTAGTTAGAAACACAAAAACCTGAAAATTAAGTGGATAAAGAATTGTAATTCTAGTCTGACGCATTTAGCATCTAGTGGAATGTCCATGCACTGACCCTGTTGATATTTTTAAAGGCACACTTGTCATTCAAAGGTGTTTGCAAAAAGAGTGTTTGCCATATTTTGCTTTCTGTGCAAGCCCTTTGTAACTACCACACAGTTAAAAAATTACGCATTACTATCTGTATACAACTATGGTTGTTCGTGAATGTGCTTTTAAAATTTTATCAAATTTAGAACTGGTACTAGATGGCACTTACTGTCACAGATAAGGTGGTAAACTGTCAGTTAACTATATGAATTTCAGCAAAATGTTCTAAACAGCATGTTCAAAACTTGTTTATAGTTGCATCATTTTAAAAATCTTTTAACTAGATTTTGTGCTTTTGTATTAAGTGTTTCTATTTACTTTTAAGCACACTGTTAACAACCTATATACTTCTTTTGACACACAGCGTCTTAGAACATTTTGATATGATATACAATTTGGGTTGCTACATAGTTGGAAGGAGAACAGCTCACTAGCAAAGTTATTGTACTGACTAATATGACGCTTCAGTAAAATTTTGGAGACGCTGTGCTGTGATGCCATGTAATTATAATGCACTGAACTGCTTTTGCCCCTGCATATATATGGATGTGAACACACCCCTGAGGACATGCTGATGACTTCCAAAGACTACTCGTTTTATTCTATGTAATGTTTACCCAACATATCACTCTATTATCTGAATTATAAAGGTGTTAAGTGTAAAACAAGAATATTGCTACACACATGCTACATGCAAGGTAACACTCCTGCTCACTGAATTGACATCATTAGCAATCTCACCAAAATGCCCCAAGCAAAACAGCAAGCTTTGGGCACACTGCTAACTCCAAAATATCAAACAGTCTCAGTACAACCCCATTTCCAAAAAAGTTGGTATGCCATGCAAAATGTAAATAAAACAGTGTTCAATGATGTGCAAATCATTCAAACTCTATATTTAACTGAAAATAGTACAAAGACAACACATCAAATGTTAAAACTGAAATTTAATTGTTTTTTGGATAAATATATGTCCATTTTGAATTTGATGCCAGCAACACATTATAAGAAAGTTGGAACAGGGGCAACAGGGGCAACAAAAGACTGTTGTGACTGTTGAAAGTTGTATAATGCAAAAAAATACCTGGTGGAACATCTCACAACTAATAAGGTGAACTGGCAACAGGCCAGTAACATGACTGGGTATAAAAAGAGCATCCTAGAGAGGCTGAGGTTTTCACTAGTAAAGATGGGATAGGGGTTCACTACAGTGAAAGACTGTGGGCAAATAGTGCAACAATTCAAGAATAATGTTTCTCAAAGTAAAATAGCAAAGAACTTGGGGATTTCATCATCTACAGTACATAATATCATTAAAAGATTCAGAGAATCCAGAGAATGTTGGTTGGCCATGATTTTCCAGCCCTCAGGCGGCACTCCATCAAAAACAGACACGATTCTGTGGCAGAAATTACTGCATGGGCTCAGAAACACTTCTGAAAACCATTGTCTGTGAACACAGTTTGTCACTGCATCCACAAATTCAAGTTAAGACTCTACCATGCAAAGAAGAAACCATATATGAGCAGCATCCTGAAACACTGCCACCTTCTTTGGGCCAAGCTCATTTAAGATGAAGTGGAAAAGTGTCCTGTGGTCTGACGAATCAAAATTTGAAATTCTTTTTGGAAATCGTGGAGATCGTATCCTCTGGGCTAAAGGGAAAAGGGAACATCTGGCTTGTTTTTAGCACACAGTTCAGAAGCCTGCATTTGTGATGGTATGGGGAAAGGCACCATCAATGCTGAATGATATATACAGGTTTTTTGAGCAACATATGCTGCCATCCAGACAACATCTTCCTGCTTATTTCACCAAGACAATGCCAAACAACATTATATAGCATGCATAAAAACAGCATGGCTCCACAGCAAAGAGTCCAGGTGCTACATTGGCCTGCCTGCAGTCCAGATCTGTCACCCATTGAAAACATTTGGCACATTATGAAATGGAAAAATACAACAAATGAGAACCTGAACTGTTCATCAGCTGAAATCCTATATCAAGCAAGAATGGGGAAAACATTTCACTTTCAAAACTACAGTAGTTGGTCTCCTCAGTTCCTAAACGCTTGTTGAGTGTTGTTAAAAGAAGTTGTGCACAGTGTTAAACATATCCCTGTTCTAACTTTTTTGAAACAAGTTGCTGGCATCAAATTTAAAATGGGCATATATTTAAAAAAAAAAAACAATAAAATAAAATTTCTCAGTTTCAACATACATTATGTTGCCTTTTTCCTGTTTTCTATTAAACATAGAGCTTGAATCATTTACACATCATTGCATTTTGTTTTTATTACCAATCTGCACAATTTGTTTGGAAACAGGACTGTAGACACAGACAGGTGACAAAGAAAATAACTGAATAAATAAGTGGAGAAGCTTTCAGACAGGTATTCTGCATGATACATTTAAGCAATTAACATACTACTATGCTCTGTGGCATGTGTAAAAAATACTAAGCTGCCCAGTTTACCTCAACTTCAGATCAAGATGGTAAGAGGATGGCAAAAGGTTTTCATTATACTTGGGCACAAACAGCAGGAACTTTAGTCACAAAAGCTGGATAGGAACAGAGACTAAAGAGCTATCTGTCTGGGGAAGACATCAGTAAATAGAGTTGGGAATTGTGGTCCAAATGAAAGTGATGCGTGTAGAAGAGCAACTGCTTCTCAGGTGACTGAGAATGTCAATACAGGATGATTTTTCAGGTGTTGCATCCTTTACTGTGTTCTCCACAAGTGGGCGAGTGCACCAAGGACACAGAGTGTGTGGCTCTGTATACAGAGGATACATATCTGATCATATACAAGAATACAGATTTGATTAATGACCCCTACAATGAGGGGATCCAATGATGGATCTCATACTATGGGGGACATTTTGCTGGCATGTTTTGAATCCATTTGTGCCCTTAAAAGAAAAGGAAATTGCAAATAAATGCAAACAAACTGTTTTGACTGATTACCTTTCTTCTATGACGAAACATTTTGATCCTGATGGAGGTGATCTCTTCCAGAATGACAATGTCCCCTTCCACTGGACATGAGGGGTCACTGAATGGTTTGATGAGTATGAAAATGATGTAAATCATATGCCATGGCCTTCACAGTCACCAGATTTCAAACCAGTTGAACACCTATGGGAGATATTGGACCAACATGTTAGACGGAGCCCTCCACCACCATCATCAAAACAGCAACTGATAGAAAATCTTCTGGAAGAATGGTGTTCCATCCATCTACTACACTTCCAGAGACTTATATAATATATGGCAAGGTGCACTAAATTTCTAGCAACTTGTGTTACTACGACACGTTGTTTTTTCTTTAATCTGTCACCCATCTGTACATACTGTATGTACATATACGTGCAAGTTTTTGTAAAATCTAGAAGGCCA